AAAAATTGAAAGAAGCCTCCGGTATACTTTGTTAAAAGTAGACATGTATCAATATACACGAAAGAAAACTCAAAATTGGTTCACAAAGCCTTACTTGTATCATTTGGCACAAAATTATTTTCTTTTCTATACGTCGTAGAAACATACCGATTAGATACAAAAATAGCTAATTTTTCAGAGATTCACATTATGTTATAAAGTCAATTTTGATCTAAGTCGAGTTAGATCCCTTTTCACTGGGGGTACAGCATTATGAAGTCTGTTGTGACCTTGCAGATAAACATTATGAAGTTCATTGTCAAAGGTAAGTAACCATTAAAATAATACAAAACATATTCTAAAACAATGTGGTATTTATATTATACTGCTTTGAATATTCCTTTTCTTTACTGGATTCTTAATATTTTTTAAGTTATAAGCTGAGGTTATAAGAATAGTAACGTGTTTAAATATTTTACAGGTACAATTTATTTTAATTCTAATAAGCTACAAAAATAGGTGTCAAAGTATGAAATTGCCGTTTTGTAGCGAGATTTTAGCGAAATTTCATTTTTTGCGGTTTTTAAGGAACCACAATTCTTAGTTTAATGCAATTTTGTGGGTAGATTAAGACAAGTACCTACGCAGAAAATTTTTGAAAATTGGTAGGTAGGCCTGTAAAAAAAAATAATCAAAATTTTATAACGGAAACGGCCACCACTTAGGACAAGCTGTTTTTGAAGATTTATTTTTAAAGAAAAAATATTAACAATCATGAAAACGCAAGTCCTTGAAATAAAGTTTAAAATAATTAAAGATTAATGGATCTAACTATTGTAATAAAGGAGTTATGTAGTTACTAATGAAATAGAAAAAAATAAATCGGAACAACTTATCCATAAGTGTTTTTTACTACATTACTAAGCTCGTAGTAAAAAATATTTAAATAAAAATTAAATTACATTTTTTTATGTACCTACCCGTTGAATCCACGGCTAACAAATGCCCGCTTCCTATAATCGGGAAAGGGGTAGGCCCTTTTACATTCGTTAATCTCTTATCCCACATCAAGGATAGCCATGAAAGAAGCAGCACCGCAATCAAGGCTACAAACACTATAATCAGTATCATGATAACTCGCGGCTAAAGAAGTTCGAACACTTAAGTACACACGTGTAACTCAATCTGGAATCACTGTTCCACTGTCGACTGAATTGACCTTGCACCAAGCTACTTATTTAAACAGTAGGTATATCAGTACGTAGGTATCTAGATCTGCGCTGTTTGTTGTTGTATACCCACATTAATATTATGTCTGTTGCAAAATAAATTGCACCTAATATGCATTACAACTAGGTAGGGTTTAACTTGAGATATACTGTTTTTATTCCAAAGTACAAATGGATAGCTGTTTATAAATGTTAATTTCTACAATACTAATTATTATTGGACGTTGCGTTGATTCATTTGGATGTTTGAAACAAAATAATAAGTGGGTAGTTCTAATATATTATGGGCACACCAGTTTTAAAATAGAGATTGAAACTTCTAAAATACAGACTCAGCCAAAAATCTGAGATATTAAAATAATAATAAATTATCAAACGAGTAAACTGCACCACACGCAAATAGTTTTAACTAATAATACAACCTTCCCATTATTTTTCCTTCAATGTTATTACCGTGTCGAACACAAAGCGTCTCCTTTTAAAAAAGTTTATTTGCTCGAAGACAACACGCCTACTAGTGAGTGCACAAGCACAATGCCGTAATAAAAGAAATAAAAAAAAAGGTTGACATTTGTTTTGACAGACGAACGTTCAAATAACTAGTGTAATATTCCGAAAATTGAACTCGAATTTTATATTTAATCCGCAATAAATCACGTAAAAATACTTTATCTTTGACGATTTACAATGTCTTTTGGATTATTCTCTGCTGTTAAAGCTAATTCCGTTCTAAAAGGTATAGTTTTCTGTTGAAGTTAGGTTTCGGTGGTGTTTTGTATTAAATTCTAACTTGGTTTTTTGTCGTAGAATTTGTGCGAAATGCAAGTAAAAAGACAGGAGGCAGTACACAGAATACAAACTGCAAAGTAAAACCTAAACACAGAGGCTGGAAGGTGCAGGATGGTCACTTCGTTCAGCAGGGTCATATGTTAGCAACTCAGAGGACTCCTAGATTCCATCCTGGTCTGAATGTGTGTACCTACTATGATTTTAACTTATGCATGAATTAGAGAACCTTTCTGATATGCTTTCAAATATCAAAGCATGATTTCATTTTTACATTAATTGTTTGTAGGACCTAAATTTTAATTTCACTGTAATTTATATTTCAGGTTGGTTTCGGTCGCAACGGCACTCTGTTTGCAATGGAAGCTGGTCGGGTGGTAGTCACTTGTGAAAAGTTTGATGCCGACTGGGAACACACTTGGGTACAGCGGATATATGGGGGACGAGAAGACCAGACGATATACAAAAAATATTTTAATGTGATCCCGGAGCCTCAGCATCAGAGATTCAAGCTTATTGATGAAGTTTAATTTATTTATGTAGAAATATGTACTATAACCTGTATTAGAGATAGTAGCAAATAAATTATTGTTAATAACTTGTGTTGTTTGTATTTTAATACTTTCTGGCTCAAATATTGTAATTCTGCATTTAGCAACATCGCAATAACATTACTGAAATTATTTTGATAAAATGATGAGGACTGCTGATACAAACCCTAAACCCTCTCACTCAAGGATAGCATTTCTACTACTGGTCAATAGATGGCGCTTTGTAACAAATACGACGCGTGGCGTGGTGTTGTTTTGTAAGGACAAAAAATATTTCCTTTCAATTTATATAAAGGACTTTATATATTTATTATTTATTTAAATAATAAATTGATGTTCATTAAGTATGGCTAATATCCATGTTATTTACCTTTATTAAGAGAGCTTCTAGTTTGGGAAAACAATAACTTCATTAATGTGCACACATTCAGGTACCTAAGTAAATAAATAACAATAACTACACTCGCGAGCAAAAGTATGGAATCACTTACATGAAGTTGTTTCCACGCGATCTTGTGTACTAACGAATTTGTTAGTAACAAAAAAAGTAACTTACCACTACACACTTACCGTCCACTTGCTAAAAGCTATCCTACGAACATTTCTGAGCTCTTGCTGGACGTTGATACCAGTCAAATGACGATTTCGTAGAGAAGTTGACATGAAAAAACGGTTTTCCCTCTGCGATGTGCACCGGCAATGTTCAGAACTTGGTCTCGGGATAAAGCCACCGGTATCCCGAAAGCGTCTTAAAACTTTCGAAACCCAGGACTGGCTTATGTGGAGCTGACGTGCGACAGCCCGCTGGCTGAGCCCTTCTTGCAATAGTGCAACGATTTATGCTGCTTCTGAAGGTGTAGAATCTCAGATAAAGTGTCAAAAGAAGTGTCAATTTAAAGTTAAAAGTTTAATCTTTAAAATGGTGCTACTTTTTTTGTTACTAACAAATTGGTTAGTACACAAGATCGCGTGGAAACAACTTCATGTAAGTGATTCCATACTTTTGCTCGCAAGTGAATTTTATTCTTCGAAGTAGGTACCTACCGTGCACCGTAGAGTCGCCGAACGTGATAAGTAAGTACTTACTCTATTTAACTGACTTCAAAAAAGAAGGAGGTTCTATGTTCGACTGTATGTATTTTTTTGTTGGTACTGTTATTGCTATAATTGTAAACTTGTGTGATTCTTGATACTACTCGTAATACGGAAACTAAAGTCAATAGATATTTTTGCACCAGTCTTCGAATGCAATTGTTTCACAGCTTGTAGGAGAGCAAAGCCGCTAACGTGAAATATGAAGAAGGTGGGAAGATGGCTTGAGCTTAGGACAAATTTTATTGGCCTAATAAATATCTCTCGGCGATGAATAAGAAAATATTGCACATTGGGACCGTGTAAGGGGTTTTAAGGGAAATTTCCATCAGAGCTGTCTGCTTATGCAGAAGGGTCTCTCCTCGTGCATAACTTTTATGAGATGCTAGCTTTAGACGATAAAATATAGAATGGTAATGCTTAAGTTTATACCTAAGCAGCTGCAGGTAAGCAGAGGTACAAAAAGGTAATAAAACGCAAGAGTTAAGTAACTTAGAGTAATCTTATCACGATTTCGGTTGGTTTTAAAAACGGTTTACTTTGATTAGAAGATAATTAAAAATAAGATTCTAGTCATAAGTAGGTAAACAGCAGAAGAGCTTAAAATATGTTACAACAATTTATTGAAACATTAAAATCTCACTAATCTCACATTTTCTAGTTTTTCTAAAATACCTATCTAGGTACTAGTAACTTAGGTTGTCTGGAAGAAATCGCTTATAAGAGCGCTTAAATTGTGCTGTATCTTTTGTATATTTCTTTCTGTTTCTTTTCTTGTCTGGTGTAGTGTACAATAAAGTGCGTTCTATCTACTTATCTTAACTTCAGCTAAGAAAAAAAAAAGATTACCTAAAAAAGTTTTTAGGTAATTTGAGCAAGAACCAGTCTTTTTCGCCTGTGAATTTAAGCACTGAACCAAATTGCACATACGTTTACGTGCCAGATGTCAGTCGTGCAAAAAAACAGGTAAAGAGGAGATTGGTGATTTTCCGGAGTTGGAATGACGTCCGGCAGGAACGGATGTTGACCGGCCCGGACGGCCGCTCACGGCTTATCGAGCCTTGGGGACCGCCGGCATCAGGTTAGGAGTCGTTTAGGGAAACCTGCGAAATCTGGTAAAAATCTCTCGCGAAAGTAAGGTACCTACTTATTTTTTACCGAAGTTATGTTTACTTCAATTCGCACCTGCCGGGCTTCCCTATACTTATTTAGGCTGCTAGGCAGACTAATTTTGGGTCTACCTCTCACTGAAGTATGCTGGCATTTCGCTATGTGTGAGTCGAAAATTTTGACTTCAGAAGTAGTAATAGGTTTAAAAAAATCTTTCATATCTTATTTTAACAACCTAACTACGAGTAGGTAGTAAGTAACGTATAAAATGTTTCAATGGACTTGAGTGTATTAAAATTATTATATCTATGCTCTGGGGTATATTTTTGATTTTTATTCCAGCAGAAAAAGCTAGTGTGAAACAAATATCTTGGTTGAATGGCGCCCGGTCCGGAAAACCCTTCGTCAAGGCTCGTATTAGGCAGACAAGCACACCCTGGGGACAGGCTAGGCGAGAAAGGCTACACTTTTAGTTTAATTCATTTGTTCGTACAATCCGGAAAGGTGCAGATGTGATTATGTCCATGTAGAGCTAGGAAAATAATACCTACTTGAATTTGTGGATTTGAAATGAAGACATTATAAAAATTTAAAAGAGCTGAGTTCAGGAGTTAATCACTAAACAATAGAGGCGTAAATCAAACAAAGTATGTAAATAAATAGGCAAGTATGTCTCTACTACATAGTAGTTTAGTGCGAATGACACATACTTACCTATCAAGGAACATCTACCATGTTAAGTACACATACGTTATTGTTGTATTTTACAAAAGGATTCATTACATAATCGCAAATACTAATTAGGTAGATCTAGGTACATCAAGGTGTAAAGTAGATAGTACACCCACGTGCACAAGGTGATAATAATTTAGGTAAACGAAAACATTAGGCAGGTATCTACTTAGGACTTGTATATTTTCCAACTGCTATAACAAGATTATGAATGAGTATGAAGTTTTTGTTGCTTCAAGTCATATTTATTATTGTTTCATAAATATTTACCCTCTATCGGCAGTTGGATATAAATAAACAACCTACTAACACTGCTCTACCATTTCCAGCCACAAAATGTTTATTGGTAAATTGACCCGGCAATACTATCATCACGTTTGTGCCATAAAACATCTTTCGCTGGTTGTATTAACGGAAGTCGGGAACAGGATTTCAGATCGTCACTTACGGACCCTCCTGTGAGGTGCATAGGGGTGCTCAGGTTTGATACAGAGTAAGTGGGTTCAGTAGGCTCGATTTTGGCGAACTAGTCAAAGTTTTTTCTTCAGTACCTACTTAGGCCCATTCCAGGGCGCTTATACACGTTCCAAATATAGCTTGCCCTACCACCACTACGGGACAACATATGGGCTGGTGCTGTAAAGAAGTGGCGGAAGAAACTCACGCCCGTAGTCACAAACATTACTATGAGGTTTACAGTGTATTTGGACGCACAGGGCGACACGCGAACCAATCACAGAGCTCTATTCAACGCTGTGTGTTCGATTTGAAAAATTTGAAAAATGGATGCAATAAAATTACGACGAAAGAGGCTGTTCATGTGTGGACATAGGCACCTTAAGACTTCGAACTCCTCCTATGTTGTTCTGATTAATTTAATTGTGGGTTCAATGAGAGTTAACTTTCCCCCAGGACAAACTTGACCTTCATTGGTTGGGTTTTTATTGGCCGTCAAGCTGTAGATCCTCGCTACACAGGAGTTGCATCGGGTATTAGTCCCGTGCAGATAAGCAACCTCTGCACCCACCCCCACTGTGTATGTGCCCACTTGTAATTTTTCGCGTCAGCCATATTGTGCGCTCAATAATCCCAACACCCGCTACTGGGTATAACTCAAGTGCTAAATTAAACTTTTTGGCGGGAAAGGAGGTTGTCATGTGCGACTGGCTTTTATGGATTGGTTTGTTTCAGTTCTTGGCAAAGGGGACGTTAACTAGCCATAGAGTGCTAGTTTTATTATTCTTTTTTTGTTACTTTTAAATTCGGCTAGTTATTTTTTTAGAACAATGCAGGTGTTTGACCGCAATCTAAAGGTGTTAAGTGAGATGCAGTCTAAGATGATACATTTGCCCTGTAAGTGCCTATTCATTCACCCTCACCTTGACGAGACTCGGATTACAGTGTCCGGGAAAGACAGCATGCAGCAGGCAGCGAATTCCAGTTATTATTTACTAACAATTAGTTAGCAATAACATACTATTAATTTAGTTAGTGTTGTGCATCAGATTTGAGATGTTAGACATCAGATTTTCTAAAGTTTTGCTGAAAAAGTTATAATTAAGTACCTACTTACATAAGCTCTAACCTTTTGACTACGAATTAAGAATCCAAATAACTAATTACACACTCGAATTACTTGTAAACATTTCAACTCTGGAGTGTTTTTGTACCACACAAACGTCATTTTTAATACGACGTTATTAAGTGTATTTAACTGAGATGGAATGGATAATGCAGTGCACATCTAAACAGACATTAATGCATAGTAGGACAAGCCTGACGTTCCATTTTTCACCCCCATTCCAATCCTAAAGCACTCCAGCCTGCGCTCGCTTCCAAGGCGTTTTAAAAGCAAAACATTTGTGCTGGCGAAGCAACTTTTAAATGAGGACCTTGTTTGTATAATCGTAAAGTTTTAATTGCTGTAAATGGTGCAAGAGTAGACATTATCATAGTGGAAGGGGATGCAGTGAGTGCATTTATCCTGGTTTATGTAGTAAGGTCGTTCGATTAAGTAATTCCAAAAGTATGACCCTAAATTGACCCAAGATTTAATGATCTCTACAAATATTTGCTACAATACACCGCGCTAGTGCCCGGCGCGCTA